AGAAGAAGTCCACGGTGTGATGATCTTAGCTCGTCAACAACAGCCCTCCTCTATTCTCCAACGTATTGAAATTGTTTACTCTCCAATGTATTGAAACTGTTTTTTGCGACTGCCCAGAAAGACTGAAAGAGAAAAATCGCTTGCGACTGCGATTGCGATAAGAAAAATTCCGATTGCTGAACAGAGAAATTTGAACTCTGAAAAAATTGCACAATATTCTCTAGAATCCAATCGAATATGGAAAGAATTCTAGCCACACAAGCATTTAGCCTGCCTGAGAGGTGATAGAACTTATGCGATACACGACATATTCAAAACATTTCAGAAAGAGAATCATAAATATCGCAAAGAAGCTCACTTTTCTTAGGGCTGCAAGTCTACTCATGAAAGCGGCCAAATCCGTGCAGTCCACTTGTGCTGAGCTAGACATTTAGTATGATATTCCTATTAGAACAGGATGATGTTTCTGAAAATGCCGCATATTCTGAATACTTCCTCTACCGTTATAAACGAACAGCAATATCGATTGTTATTTATATGCTCGGGCGGTTGCAAACATTAACAAAGTAGCCGCTGGAGGAGCATTCCACGCAGTATCATGGAGCAACTTTCAAACCTCAGTTAACTGCATTTCTTCAATCTCATGTTCAAGGCTCCAGTCGATAATAACTACAAGAACAACATCACTCTCCACAATTTTTTTGTAGCATGAATGTACTTCTTGTAGCTTTAGGATGGAGATGTTGCAACAAGACTGCCTCAGTAACTGCTTGTCGAGAAGAACAGAATCCATGTCCTTTTAGCACAGACTCGCTACAGACAGAATAACATATATTAGCAGCCCTGATAGGGCACGGTCGACGTTAGCTCCCAAGCACGCCCCTCCTCCCCCCCCCCCCAAGTGAGGCCGTCGGGTACATCAATGAACACTATAGCAGCCGGAGGACTTCGATGTGCCTGGCAAGGACGACTGGAACTTGCAACTGCTGGGAGTCCCCTCAAGACACATCCTGGTACCAGAGGCCTATGAATTGTCATGAACGGACGGCTGCCGTGTAGAGTTATGATAGATTTTCTCGCCTTTGTTGTCTGCTGCGCTCTTCTGACTCTTCTTTGGAAGTATGTCTATCATCCATACCTTCGTACGGCTGAAGGCTTTCCCCAGAGCCTCATGCGATACTTACGTTTCTTCTACCTTGTCTCTGTCAACTTACACCTACAATTTGCTATTTCAAACCTAATACTCTCGAGTTTCAGTCGCAAAACCTGCCTCTGACACGTCTCTTTGAAATACAACAGCTTTTTGCTGTATGCGAAGATGTTTCGGTTTGCGGCAGTTATAGACGATTAAAGCGATTAGAAGGCAAGGTGTTTCCCGAGAATCTGATCCCTTCCGGAAAACGCGCGAAATATGTCTAAGAGCGCGTTCAGACTTCGCGATCCGGATCGCGTGATTTGGATCGCGCGATCGCGAAGTCTGAACGCGCTCTAACGCTGCTGTCGGGTATGGTGCTCTGCCCGTACTTCAGCTGTACCGCTTTTAGTGATGTCACACTTTGTCTGTCCGTTGGTATAAGCATCGCTGCTTGTGCGCAGCTATTACCACTATCTATTTACTTCCAAGGATTCCATGCAGTGGCGAGCGGTGCAGGAAAAATGTTTAGGCGAACCACCCCTAAGAGATGCACCAGGACTCTGCAATGGCGCTCCAATCTGCATTGTTTTTGATCTTTGGGGAGCCTGCGGCCATAATCTGCGAACGACTGTCCCTATGTTCTGGTTCTTTTTCTTCCCGCTAGTAAGAGCATTCCCCAAAGTATTAGGTCATCTAATCAAAATACGACCTATAGAGGTCGTACAGAGGACAAAGCAAAGGAGCTGAGGCTGTGGACTTTTGTATTGTTTGAAAGCGGTTATATTCAGCTACATATTCGTGAAATTTTGCCTGAATAGCTGCAGAAAAAAAACCTGGGAAAAAGAAAAAAGTTGTCAAAATCAGCGCTGAGTCATAATTGGGTGTCACACAAGGAAAGTGCGCTCCTCAAATTAATCCTGAGCTAAACCAATAGTTGCATATGATGGTGTTCTCGAAACCGAATATACAAGAATGGAAGGTTGGAGGGGACTCCCCGCAATCGCAAGTTCCAGTCGTCCTTGCCAGGCACATTCTAGTGACGATAACTGTACTTCCCCAGGCTGCTCACCTGCTCGCCTCGCACATGGAAAAACCCACTTCTCAGGTCACCTGTAGAATGTTTAAAATAATTTGTAGATTGCGTCCGGATACATCTTTTCTCTGCTCGAGAACATGGTAATACTCTATGAGGGCCTACCCCCGATCATTCGGGTAGCTCAACTCCTGCAAGAATGAAACGTGCCATCGAAAATGAGATCTGCAGAGGAGAGGAAGGTCACATAGCGAAGCCAACACAGTGAGCTAAGAATCACTTTTCACTAGGGGAAGTGAAGTATGCTGTTCCAGAATGTTCAGAGTAAATGTACGCCAATGAAAAATGAAGGCTTTTCCAACCTGATATCTTGATACTTCAACGAAGAAACTTGTCAATTTATTGTATAAACGTAAAGCACAAATCTGAAAATTAGAACACGAAAAGGCTATAAGGAAGTATGAGGAAGGGGAACAGGGATAAAGAAATTAGGACAAAATGGAAGCTTTTTTCAATGTTAAAAAGTTAACAATCAACGGTGTCAGAGATCAGTTAAGAATAAAAGCAAAAGTTTGTATGATTATTTCTATCAAACAGTCTTTAGTGGTAGATAACGAATTCTTTCACCAATTCTCACGATCATCTCCTTCTTCGCTAATTCATTCAATGCGTCATCGAATATGTCGCGATTGAGCATCTGAATTACAAGGAGTTCAAAATGATAAACACATTAGATGTTAATAACAACACTTCACAATAGTAGAGAAAAAGCAACACTTTTTAAAAGCACAAACCTTATCAGTTTCCCTTAAGGCCATGAAGAGATTCTTCACCGAGATATTTACTCCCTTTGTGCTATCCAAATGCCCAGCTATAGCATCAGCCACCTAGGTGAGAAAAACATCGCCAGCTAATTTCCCCAAAATGTAACGAGAACAAGTACCTGTTGAACCATTTTTCTGCTGGATGCACTTGCACCAGCTGCCAAGATATTAATATCTACCTTCCCAGTAACTGGATCAACAGCAGACTGCTTCAAAGCTTCACGATACAAGCTGAAAATGCAAAAGCATGGTCGGTAAGACATTTTCTAAATGAATAACTCATACTTATAGGCATATTCAACGTCTTGGATTGTCACTGTGTCCGAAAGGCGAATCTTCGCATGAGCTTCAGAAAGTCTGATTAAAGATTCGAGTTGACGCGGATAGGCAGAAATCTGTCCATGCTGGGCTCCAGCCTGCAAGTAAAGGAAGGATAAGCTCTGAAATACCTAATTATTCATTGCGAAACTTACCTTTCTCATGAACAAATACTTGTCAATGATGAACTGAGAGCAATCATCGGTCAGTTTCGGATGAACACTCGCCTTCGCATAGGCTGAACAAAGCGAAAAGGTCAACAAGTGGACTCACAAGTACTAAACCTACTTACCAATGTAATCTCTGAGCAAAGCCATATCGAGCTGTTCTGCTTGTGCTTCGGCTTTGTCCTTGTAGTAAAGAGAGACCAGATGATTGGCTAGGCGTCGATCGTATCCTTCATCCTGGGGGTCGACCAGCAGGAATATGAGATCGAATCTGAACCGATACGTCAAACGCTATTCACACTGATGTGACTGCTAAAGGGTGAAATCAATACCACAGTGATAACACACTAGAGAATTAATGTAAGAAAGGTCATGAAGTAAAGAAATATTGGAACCTTATAAATACTAACTCTGAATTATACTTGATGTGTCCCACTTATGTAGACGGTATTTAGCATCAATATTTCTGAAAAAAAATTAAAACATCTAACCTTGATAAAAGAGTGTGGGGAAGTTGAATATTGTCCACTATTGTCTTGTCTCGATTCCATTTAGAATCCACCGGATTCGCTGCAGCGAGGATGGAAGCTCTAGCATTGAGTTGACAAATAATTCCAGCTTTGGCAATGGACAGAGTCTGCTGCTCCATGACCTTGACAATATCAGAGTAAGAGAGGATACTGACTACATAGCACCCGTGCAATAGCGATGCATCTAATAGCACACGCC